TATATAATTATTAAAATTTTACCTTTATTTTTATTTTTTAAAACCACTAGATCAAGAAGGTCAGATGTAACTTTCATAATCTATTTGGATTTTTTATGGTAGGTATTGATTTTGAATTGGTAAAATTGACCCCTTGATTTTCTCCGACCGTTGTTTTTTTTTTTTCCACGAGAGTAATGGATAAGGGCTTTGTCTTCATTCCTGGCTTTCAAAGCCACTAGGCTGAGAAGGCCAGGTGTAACTCTCATAACCTATTGGGGTTTTTTATGGTAGATCTTGATTTGAATTGATAAAATTGACCCTTGCTTCTCTCTGACCATTGCTGTCTTTTTCTTCCTCAAGAGGAAAGGATGACGGCTTTGTCTTCATTCCTACCTTTCAAAGCCACTAGGCCGAGAAGGTAGAGTGTAACTCTCATAACCTATTTGGGTTTTTTTTATGGTAGATCTGATTCGATAAAATTAACCCCTTGTTTTTCTCCGACTATTGCTGTTTTTTTTTCCACGAGAGGAAAGGACGCGGGCTTTGTCTTCATGAGGAGTGCTGGGGGCACTCGCCTTCTGCACTCTCCGGCCAGCACTTTCACTTTTATTGGGCTACGTTATTCTGGTCGGTAAGAGGTTGACCTCAGGCCTGAAAGAAGCTTACGTGGCCCAATGAAAGAGGAAGTGTTGGTCGGAGAGTGCAAGAGGCGAGTGCCCCTAGCACTGCTCTTGTCTTCATTCCTGGCTTTCTGAAGTGTGGGAGCCCCATCGCCTATCTTCAAAATCAATAAATAAATAAAAAGTGTGGGAGCCATGGAACGGAGCAGGTTTGAAAAACAGGGCATAGATGTGTAAAGAAGGTCCTGGATCTTCTGGACGCATGGCTGAAAAAATGGTCTTGAATCTTCTCTACACAAGATCGATGCTCATCTTCTTTAATGACGTATACCTTCAGTCTTATGGCTTTCAATAAAAATTTCAATAGATAAGGAGAGCATTTAATAGATTAAATCAATCAAGAAGAAACAAATTGAAAATCAAAGAGGAAAGAAAGATGGAAAAAAAAACCCCAATGGTTAAATAGCCGAGTTGGCCTTTCAACTTTCATTTTTGAATCAAACTTATCTTTAAACATAAAAAAATATTAAAAATATTTGTCAATTTGAATTTTCAGTACCCATTTGGCCCTTCCATCAAGTGAAGTGACGCGTGGCAGGATAAAATGCCAGGAAATTACTCACTTTTTTTTAAGATTTAATCAGTGTTTTTGGGCTCGGCCGGTGGTTGATCCGGTTTGACCAGCAGGTCTGGTTAATCGGTTAAATCAATTTACCCAATTGATCCAATCAATCAACTTAAAAAATAATTTTTTAATATATTTATTAAATTTTATTATTATATATTACTTTTATTTTATTTTTAAAAAATAATCATTATAAATCAACTTGAAAATCATCATTTAA